GACCAGGGAGGATGATTCAACCACTCAACCACTAGATGTCGCTGAAAACAACAAATCCTGCACACTGTGCCTTTAATCTACACAGTAACAGATGCAGTAATCTTGCCAGCAGAGGGGGATGTAGGGAAATGGTCCAGTTCTGCTGGGCCTTCCATTGAAAACTGTAAGTGATAAATTAACGTTTTGACAAAATGCCTTTGTAGTGAATCCCATGTATCATCATTAGGGTTGCAAAAATCTGAGAATGATAAGTTGGAAACTCTCCATTCCATATGGGAATAAAACTAGATTTTAAAATACTGAAGGTTTTATCTCACATAAACATAAAATATAGTTAAAGAAAATATATTTTAGGGCACTCGTAAATAAAACATTACAAAAACATATGAAACAAACTGTAGAAATGTTTAAAGTTTGTTGTTTTCTAAAAGTGATGTAGTTATGTCATTGTTGATGTCTTCATATGCAAATAGGTTGGTTGAATTTGTTACTGTTATAAACTGTCCGTTAAGCTCATTCTCTATTTAAGATGAAACGATTTCATACAGTTTGTTTATATCATTCCTCAGTTTCAAGTATATTCCTTTGAAGTTCCATAAATTATTAACATTTTCTATTTGGAATATTTTTTAAAAACTCCCTAATTTAACAGAATTTAAGCTGGACATAACTTTTGTAAAAGTTTTCTGAAATTTACCAGAAAGTTTCCACCTTTCTGTCCCCAGTCTTTAAACTCTCAGACTTTGTACATAATTTTTGATCAACCCAGATACAGGTGTTGGTATCATTCTCGATTCTAGTGTTTCTAAAATGATTTGTCCAAAATACCCCAATACTCAGAACCGATACCAATATCGCTATCGATACTGATATACTGGTATCAAAAACCCATTGAACATGTTATAGTTTACATTTGAGGTAAAAAGTTACTCAGKTCATTGCTTATAAAATTTAGACAAGTTGAAAGAAATTTGTGTTATTTTTTTTATTTTAAAATCTTTCAACAGTTTATCATTCTGTATATTTGATTTGATCCAGCCAGAGGGGCTGTAGAAGAGCCACCCTGTTCAGAATAAAAGAAATGTGTTTTTAAAGTCATTGTGTAMTGTTTAACTCAGTAAGTACTCGGGATCGGCTTGTACCCAAACATGAAGTATTTTGTACTCCTACTGGTATTGGGACGCCCTTAGTCTCTGTAGTCTTATATATGTAGCCTTTCAGATAACACAAAGTTTTTGTTTTTAATAARTGTTAATAGCCACACAAAGAAAAAATATATATACAAAATTCCCAAAGTGTGAAAATTGATTTTAAGAAATCCTTAGTTTTGGCGTCTATGACAAATCGATGCCCAAGGTCANATCTGTCATTTCGGTTAATTTGACCAAGCATTTGGATAGTTAACTGAACAAATATGGTAAAACCTAGAATTTTAACTAATTTGGCCCAGTATTTGGGTAGATTAAATAACAAATAATGTAGTTGAAGCAACCCAGGATTTTAATTAATTTGACATAATATTTGGGTAGATTAAATAACAAATATTGTAGTTGAAACAACCCAGAATTCTAATTAATTTGACACAATATTTGGGTAGATTAAATAACACTTAATGTAGTTGAAACAACCCAGAATTTTAATTAATTTGACCCAGTATTTGGGTAGATTAAATAACACATAATGTAGTTGAAACAACCCAGAATTTTAATTAATTTGACCCAGTATTTGGGTAGAATATTTTAACTCAACCGTTGGGTTATAACAGGTCAACCCAACTTGCTGGGTCAAATTAACTACTGCTGGGCTGGTGCTATACTGACCCAGCAGTTGGGCCAAAAATAACCCATATTGGGTTATTTTTAGCCCAACTGTTTTTAGTGTGATGATCTAAATTGTTTTGGCTGTGTACATCTAAGCAAATTAATTTTTTATGTAATAAATATTATGTCTTTGGTCATTCAYAGAGAGCTTTATCCAGTCCTCAGCCTGTGTGTTTCAGCCATGTGTCAAAAATAAAAACACCCAGCTATGATGCAGGTCAGTTATCTGTTTATTCTGCTTGTTTCTGGCCGTTACAGGTACACCAAACCTGGTGTTAGTTTAATGGATGTAAAGCACCGTTTAGATCTACAGTCAGCACACAAACAACAAGGAGGCCCTGCGTTGATCATTCATCTTTGCTTCTTTAGCTTCGAATAAACTCACTGAACAGAAAATTCTAGCACAGTTAGCCTGGAGATACACTACATTTTACTAAATAAACAAAAGAATCAACATATTTATTCTTCCACAGCATTTACATGTGTGAAGGCTTGTGTAGGATTAAGTATGATCAATTACCCATAAAGCCAGCTCAGTTTGTGTAACAGTTTTACACACGTAAATGCAGAAAAAGACTAAATATAAWGAAAGAAAATGTGTTTTTGTCACATAATAATAGTTTTCTAACATTACAGGTTCACTCATTCTACTTCAGAAGTAAGGGTGCGTGGGCGTCGCTCGATTGATTGGGTGGAGCTTTGAGTGAACAGCGCCGCAGGTAAAGTCCAAGCACGGGGCGATAACCAGGTCCTCCTTCACAAACAGTTGGTCAGATGTTTGTGCAGAGAGGTGGATCTGATGGCTAGCTCTGCTGCTTGGACTTTATCCGGCGTCACAGAGAGAAACTCGGCCAAAACAATCGAGCCTTCTGCCATCGCAGCGTAACTAATGCAGTGCACAGATGTCGTGTACCGTYGTCCTGGTGTGTGTTTTGTCAGAACGTGTGTAGAAGAAGGGGGACTTCTTGTGGACCTCTTGTTTAGCACAAGGGCGCTGCCGTCTTGGGAGAGATGAGTTTTTGTTTTAGGGGTTTTTTTGTGGGCGTGGGACTAAATAAATTAATGTCTTAGGAAATGAGAAGGTGGGGGGGGGGGGGGAATACAGGTTTTTGTCAGGCTTTTAAGTTAGGGCCGGAAAGGAAGGGTAAGTCAGTCGAATCTCTTCTCCTTCCAGGAGTTTCCTGTAAAAAAAGGGAGGGAAAAACAAAAAGTTTGTTATCACCTGTGTGTTTGTCAAGCTCTTACCAAAATTTCTCACAAACCACTCGATGAATTTTAATAATATTATCGTTGGATGTACATCTACAACTGATTAACTTTTGGAGTCTTGCTGACTCAAGATGGCTGCCACAGCCAACGATGCCTAAACAACACAAAAATGACTATGACACTGGTCATTTGGCAGATACTGACCTAAAATCTGTTGTGGTAGTAGCTGAGACTGACTACCATTAGGGATGCACCGATATGAAAATTTCAGCCAATATCAATATCCGATATAATTATTGGTGTTATGGCCGATAACAGATATTTACCGATATTACACAAACATACAAATTATATTATACATATACGCAAAAACACACTTGGGTCTTTTTTTGATACTGTACATAAACAACCAGACCTCTGACAATGGTTCCCTACTTCAGTTATTCCTGGCTGTGCAGCATCACTAACACTGTCATGATCAAACAGATGTCGCTCAACCAACCATCTCCCCTCACAAAACAGAAACACAAAGATAAAAAGTGGGAAATCAATATCGGACATTAATATCGGCCTCATTTTACATACTGGACCGATACTGATATTCTAAAAAATGACCAATATCGGTCGATACCGATATCAATACCGACATATCGTGCATCCCTAACTACCGTCATATCTTCTGGGCGCTAACAGATCAGAAATTTTCACTTAAAAATTTGCCAGTAACTATTTGTATTAATGTTTGCCTGCCTGTTAGCAAAATAACTCTAAAATGAACGTTTTGTTAAAGCTCGATTCAAACTGGCCACCACAACAAATCAATCTTAGCAAACACAAAAACATCTAAAACTCGGTTAAACAAATATTGAGCTAAAATTCAATATGGTAGTAGCTGACAGTCATCCCTAACACATTGAGCACAACACTATATGTGACGTCTTTGATGAAAACATTGACAATAACTGTTGTTGTCAACCCTGTTTGTCTGTTAGCATCATTTTTCACCATGACCCCCTGGATGTTTTTTTTTCACCACTTTCAGAGAGTGATTAGCCTGGTAAAAACCAGACCCTGTCCTTCACGTTGCTTCGTACAGAGCAGAGAAGCAAAACTAGAATTGAGTGGAGCTGCGTAGGAAGGCAAGGGCCAGGCTAGAGAGTGATCACTGCATCCCTGTCTACAACAGATTAACTTTTCGAGTGAATCCAGTTCAAGATGGCCACCATAGTTAATCAATCTTAGCAAACACAAAACTGGCTATAACTCGGTTTGTTTTACAGACTCTGAGGTCAAACTGGATGTGGTGGTAGCTGAGAGTGTTGAGTGTGTTATCTTGCAGTTTTGCATGACATGACACGCCACATTATTTTCAACTTGGCCATTTCGCAACATAAGATGATTTTAGTTTAAAATTCTTGCATGATACGCGGTGGGCGATGAGTGAATGCTGGGTTTTTATTTTCTTTTTAGTCAAACAAAGTTTTTTCTCACCTGTACGCAGCTATTTCAATGTCAAGGGCCATCTTGACATTCAGCAGGTCCTGGTACTCTCTCAGGTAGTGAGCCATCTCTTGTTTAGCCTCGGCGATGTCCTGCTCCAGTTCACTTATCCTCATCTGGAGATGTAGGAACAAACAAACTGTAGTTACTGTGAATTTGTTTATTTATTTATTTATTTACAGATTTTGCAAGCCTCTGTTGTTTTGTGGTTTTAAATCATTTGCTCTCCGTTTAAAAAGGTTTTGAACTTTTAGAGTTGAGTTAATCATTTATCACCAAAACTAAAAAACAGACAATTCCTTTACATAAACTGATTTGTTCTGTTTCACCCTGACTAATCCCATCCCTGTAACATTATTATCACTGCTAAAGGCAAAGACCATGCGTGTCTGTTGGCAAAACATCCCATTAACAAAAACAATAAAAATAATAATAAAACTCGCAAGAAGTAATTATTACATCTGCAAATAATTAACTTTTGGAATCAGTTCAATTCAAGATGGCTGTCATGGCCAACTGATCATAAAAAAACACCAAAATGGCTAAAACTTTGTCAGTTTTAAGCTAAAATTTGGTGTTGTAGCAGCTGAGAGTTATCTACAAGACACACTCTGAGTGTGACATCACTGAGCTAACATCTCAGTGTGAAATTATCTTTGTCTAAAATTGAATAATTTCATGTAAATTTTTGGCACAATTTAAACACAATCTCTGAAAATCAGCCCACGAGATCAACCAAACTCCACATCTTCACCTGGTATTTCTCCACCTCTTTGTTCTGCGTGTCTTCCAGATCCTCCAGTTGCTTGTTCAGGGAGTTGATGACGTTCCCGAGCGCCTCGATCTCCGCGGAGCGCGCCTGCAGCAGCCTCCGGTACTCACTGGTCTCCTCCCGGACGGCGTGCACGGCCTCGTTGTTCTTGCTGGCCACCTCCGCCACGCTGGCAAACTTGCTCCGGTACCAGTCCTCGGCGGCCTGCATGTTCTTGTTGGCCAGCCGCTCGTACTGCACCCGGATGTCTCGCAGGGCTGCGGAGAGGTCGGGCCTGCTCAGCTCCACGTCCACGCTGATGTTGGCCACCTGGAGCTGGTTCTGAAGCTCGGCTTGCTCCTCCGCAAAGACCTTCTTCAGGAACGTCATCTCATCACACAGGGAGATCACGGTGGCCTCCGCGTCACAGTTGTAGAGAACGGCGCGTCCCGCCTCCTCTCTGGCTCTCTGCAGGGCCTCCTCAGCGTCCATACGCCGCCTCGCCTCCTCCTCAAAGCGCTCCTTCACCTGCTCGTACACGTCCTGCAGGTAGTCCTTCTCCGCCTCCATACGCATCTTCTCACCGCTCTCTGAATCAATCATGGCCCTCAGGCTCCGGGCCTCCCCCTCATAGAGCGCCTGCAGGTGGGACGGGTCGTTTTGCCGCCTCTTTAATGCGTCCAGCTCAGCCAGCAGGGCCAGATTCTGTAGCTCCAGGCTCCTCACTTTCTCGATGTAGGTGGCAAAGCGGTCGTTCAGGTCCACGAGCTGCTCCCTCTCCTGGGATCGTACTTCTAATAACTCGGTGTTGATGGAGCTGGCCTTAGCCAGGTTCATCCTCTGGGAGTCATCTGGAAAAGAGGAGAAGAAGGAGGAGGAGGCAGTCTTCGGGATCCTTTTCCCAGACGGAGGAGCCGGAGGAGAAGAGTACAGAGAGGAAGGCATGAGGGATTTGGGTCGGGAGCCTTTGTCCCAAGGACGTCGGTTGGAGAGGAAGGATTTGTAGCTCATGATGATTATTTCTGTTGTTTCTTTAGGGAAAAAATGTATGATTCAGTTTCAGAAGATTTTTTTATGTCCCCCTTGTTCTGCACACCATCGGTGAGGATGAGAGTGCGTTTTTTGCACTGCACCAGTTCAGTGATGCTGCGGATCTGGACCTTTTATAGAGTGAGTCTCCCCCCCACCACCACAGAGAAACATCAGTGTTGTCAGCATTTGATCGGCCAATGGGAAGCTTCTGCAGTGGAGAGAGGAGAGACTGGTTTTCGCTCTCAGCCGAGGCAGCCACGGTTTATGATTTGAGATTTACTTCACCTGGATTTTAAAACAATCAGCTCTCGCACTGTTATTTTCTAGTTTTCACTTTGTGTTGTTTAGACCTTCTCCCTGCAATTTACATTTCTTTTAAACCTTAAAATAGTCCCTTGGATACCTTTTTCTAATGTGGGTTCTACTTTTATCCCACTGGCATTTTTACATCTGCCTCTTTATTGATCCAGAATCTAAAAGGAGAAACTACATTTTCAGTGAAAACACAGTTTGATATACTGAATGACTACTGAGATTTGTTAAAAAGGCAGAACAGAAGCTTAAAATCAGCTAATGCTAAAATTGCAAAACCATACCAAAACAGCTTACATTAACTGACCATAGTTAAAGCTACAATTAGCAAAATACTAGCTAAATAATAAAATTACAACCGCATACCAAAAATCCTACATTGACTAACCACAGCCAAAAGCTAAAATAAGCATAATAGTAGCTAAATATTAAAATTACAAATGCATAAAAATCCTACATTAACTAACCATAGCAAAAAGCTCAAATTAGCAAAACAGTAGCTAAATATTAATGTTACTTTTATTTTATTGCATTATTTCTTTTTGCAAGGACAATACAACAAATCATTATCACCCATAGGCAACAGATGCAGCATGCACAAGGTTTCTAGCTAAAAGCTAATTTACAGCCCACGTCCCTGGTTAGGCTTTTTGATCTGAACAAAATAAATGTTAATGACATAAATAAACGAGTACAGTGAAGATACAATTTACACAAATAAAATACAATAAAATACATGTTCAAATTTCAATGTTCACAGTGTTGTTGTTCTTTCAGCCAGTACTTCAGATTTGTTGTAAAAAGTTTCATGTCTGGCAGTGACTTTAGATCCTGAGGTAAAGTGCTCCATAACTGTGACACTTTGACTGAGAGTGGTTCTGCACCTTTTGACACTGCAGTTCCCTCTGACCCCAGCTCGTGTTTATTTGGACTCAGATACTTCCCTGATTTCCTGATTTACTTTAAACTCTTTCTGTGTTTTTCTCAGCATCTACTTTCTACAGGAAGTAGACCCAGCAGTAGCCATCCCCATCGGGGAGCGGTAGGGGCCTCACAGGTGCTGGGGTCTCCAGGTGATGAGGACACYGACATGTTGTAGGTGTCCTCTGATGGAGAAAAGGGTCCTAATCTATGTGGTTTTAGGCATGGTGGAATTTATACGGAGCAACTTGCACCATTGTAAAGATGCCAGTACATTGCTCTGTACCTGCCTTAGCAGGATACACACAGGCATAGCCTTGATCCAGGTACCTTGGATAGTTCAATCTATGGTACGAGGCCTAGGATTCCCTGGGGACACACTTCTATATGATGTGAGCAGCCGCAGACCCAGAGCAGCAGTAGCCCTGATATGGTGTGAGATACACTGCACTGCCCCACCTAACGTGATGCTGTAGCAGTGCAGTTGGGCATTCAGGCAAATGGCAAATCCAAGTAGTGGTCTCTGCGGACGAGTGGGCGTGTCACAAGGAAAGGCGATTCTAAAGCGACACACCTGATTTGACGGACTTTGTTAAAGGGGCACACCTGACTGGACAAGCAAACGGGCGATACCGTACGGCACCACCTCATTGGACAAGAAAAAAAGGGGCGTTACTGTACGGCACCACTTTTTCTGGAGAACCCTACTTGGGTCACTTTTCTCCTGGTTAACCTTAGTGTTGGGGTCAGGGTCAGGCTGTAAAGAGATCGAGCAGGGTCTAAGGATACCGTCATGTAGGCCTCGTAGCCCACAGTGTTTATGCTTTTGACACGCCCACTCTTGTGACACGCCCACTTTGATTCCGCAGATAACCCCTTCTCAAATCCAGACCGATCATTGCAGCCTCTGTTTATTTGCCGTTTGATTCACAGCAGCCACCTCCATCCCAGGAGTTTGTGGCAATAGTCAATTATGCTAAAGAAAAGGGCCTCCTGGTACTCATTGGTTGTGATGCCAGTTCCCATCATGCGTGCTGGGGGAGCTCTGATATTAACCCTAGAGTCAGATCTCTGTCAGAATACTTGCTGACAGAAGACCTCCATCCATCCATCCATTTTCTGTACACGCTTCTTCCTTTTCAGGGTTGCGTGGGTCACTGGTGCCCATATCCAGCAGTCACAGTGCGAGGGGCGGGGTACACCCTGGACAGGTCGCAAGTCCATCACAGGGCCGACAGAAGACCTGCTAGTCCTTAAACTGTGTCAGATCATCGACAAATTCAGTTTAAGCTGAAGATGGGGAAACCACRCCCAGTCACTTACAGAAACCCAAAAAAACACTGACTGGAATCTGTTTATCAGCAGTCTATCCCAGTTGATGGGTGAGTGAATTGCCAGGATTAAAACTGCAAAACATTGAGCCAGAGATCACAATGACTGATACTGTGCAAACTGCCTGTAAGTCTGCCTGCTCAGGGAAAGTCTGGAGGCCGTCAAAGCAGCCGGCCTGGTGKACTCCAGAGTTGTCTGGCCTCCGCAAGGCAGTAAGATCTAAATGACGAAGATGGTATGTACAGTCCCGCAATCACTATAAAAGTGTTTTAAGGGAATGTAAGGGACTTTCTTGGACAAAGTTTTGTGAAGATGTGAAAGGGCCTAGTGCTTGTTCTAAGCTTTACAAACTTCTCAGAAAGGATCCAGTCAACCATCTATCCTTCGTTGTTACACCRGAAKGATYGACAGTCACACAGACAAGTGTGCTTCAGCATCTCCTCCAGGTACACTTTCCTGGGGCAGAAGAGACTTCACAGCCTGCCACAGTTGCTAATTCAAATTCAGCAGAGGACAACTGGAGCAGGGCTGCAAGTATTATTACTAAAAGCAAAGTAAAATGGGCAATTATTATGTTTGACTGTTAGGGCAAGTAGCTGCATTATATTTTAGAGAAGAATGTTTTTGAAGGAAACGATCTTCATGAAGTTTATTGAGGAATTATTTTGTAAATAAAGAAATGATTTCAAAGGTATAGAAGTTTGAAATACTGAAAGCCAACACAAATAGGGAAAGAGAGACAAAAACAAGGGGACGTTGAACCCCGCTTGCACTCACTACATACACATAACACGACACCAAATAACCACAGCCAAAGCATCCAAACCAATAAGTCAGGTGATGGGGCACATGACCCTCTATGGACAATAGAGCTAATCAAGCCTATTGTTAGACGATGGCCCTCTTTTGCATGTGACTAACCTGTATGTCCATGTGGAGGCAGTGCTTGTAAGGCTGAGTTCACCTGAAACTCAGACTGAAGAAGTCTCTTGGAGGAGAGATGAAACATTTCACTAAAGAAGAACCCATCCAGAGGACCTACTTATTTTTTCTTTTTGATTTTTTTCTACCTGGATTACTGAGATGCATCAGGACACTGAAAGCCATAGTTCCTGGAGGAGCTGGAAGTTTTGATCTATGAATGGTTAAAGTAGCATCACAGATGTAGAAGTAAAAGCTGAAAAATGTACAAATTCAATTCAATTCAATTCAATTTATTGTCATTATACTGAAACAGGGTTGTACAGTGCAACGAAATGCTTTCAAGCTAGATCTCCAGTGCAGTATCAAAGGATATAATGCAGACAAGACAAGACATAACGTGCATAAACATTAGACACAAACATTAAATGCACAATCGTGTGTATGAAGTGAACTAGGTGTGGACAACGGACAGTCTATGATTGTTCAGGTTGTGGCTGGAGTGGCTGGGGTCACCAGTTTAACAGCACGGGGAAAGAAGCTGTTCTTGAGTCTGGTGGTTCTGGCTCTGATGATCCTGTACCTTCAGATGGCAGGGGTTGAAACAGGAAGTGGCTGGGGTGGGTGGGGTCAGAGGAGATACTGACGGCTTTCTTCACACATCTCTTGTTGTAGAGGTCCTGGATGGGTGGGAGGGCAGCTGCAGTGATGAACTGAGCAGTCTTCACTACTCTCTGCAGAGCCTTGTGTTCAGCAGCAGTGGCACTACCAGACCACACTGTGAGACAGCTGCTCAGAATACTCTCCACACTGGACCTGTAGAAGTTGCAGAGTAGCTGCTGTGGCAGTTTAGCCCTCTTCAGACGACGGAGGAAGTGGAGGCGCTGTTGGGCTTTCCTGATAATGTGGGATGTWTTCAGTGACCAGGTGAGATCCTCTGAGATATAAACACCAAGGAACCTGAAGCTGTCCACTCTCTCCACTGATGTCCCCTCAACACTCAGAGGTTTGTGCGCTCTACTCCCTCGCCTGAAGTCCACAATCAGCTCCTTGGTTTTGCTGGTGTTGAGGGAGAGGTTGTTGGTGGTTCACCACTCTGCCAGGAGCTTCACTTCCTCCCTGTACACCCCCTTGTCATCATTAGAGATATTGCCAATGACTGTAGTGTCATCAGCAAACTTGATGATGGTGTTGGTGCTGTGTTTAGCGAGGCAGTCATGTTGTCAAATGTTCAAATAGTAATACAATAAGGTGAGTGTTAAATCAGCATTCAGCTGTCCTGACTCTGACCGTCTGTGGGYGAATGCTTTTTGTATTTGCTGATTTAAAGAAACACTTCTGCTGGTAAGCATCCAGAAAGGAGTCAATGCAGTTTAATATTTTTGTCTGAAAAGGTAGCTTGAATCCAGTGTAGTGAACAGAATTTCTGCTCAAAGACACATCAGTGGTAGAAATATTCAAACAAGCTTCGTCTTGCTGCTGCACTGCAACTCTTTGACCCCTGACCCTGATCCAGATGGCAGCCTAACAGGTCTTTTTAGACACACCTAGTACTAAAAATGTTCATGACTGATAAAGTCAAGGTGGCCTTAAGCATTTCAAAACTGACTTTGAGGTCAAAGTAGTATTTTAAAGAATGGGTCAGGAAGCAAAAAGTCAGAGCATCTTATTTTTATTCAATTCTGGAGCTGTAGCAGTTCAGCCAGTAGGTGTCACCATTTTATAAGAACTATATAGTATTATAGGCAGTTCACCCATTTAGTTTACAAAAAAAATGTGATATGGAGTTGTTACTTGTATAGGAAACCTATTGATGAGAAATGTTTTGTAATTCAGTCATTGTTTTGTTTGTGTATTTGGCACAGGTGTCGCAGTTTCAGGAGGTTGGACCCAAGAACGCAGAGCTGCAGCAAGGAGCTCCAGGACAAACTTGCTTTATTTAAACACACACAAAAAAAGCCAACATGGAGGCCAAAACAAACGTTTACAGTCCAAGGCAGCAGAGGGTGACCCTGGGAAAAAACCCACACCTTGACAGAAAACCTGCAACGCTTTGCTGAGAAAGACTGAATTGGACCGGAGCGATGAGGACGCTGGAAGCGCCTGAGCTGAATGTAGATAGGGAACAGGTGTGAGTGGGCGTGGCTGACTGAGAAGCTGACCTGCAGAAGAGTGATGATTCAGAGAAACTGAAAGAATGGAAGCAAGTGAGTAACCAAACACAGGAATCACAAAACCTAAATAAATCAAATAAAATACAAACAAAAAACACGTAATAACAGGATGAACTGTCGAAGATAACAAAACAGATGTGCAGGAGGATCTGGCTAAATATAATTGTAAACATCTTGTTTTTTCTAGCTGGAGATGCTTATAATTTTTTTATACAGTGGTTTGCAAAAGTATTCATACCCCTTGAACTTTTCCATATTTTGTCACATTACAACCACAAACATAAATATATTTCACTGGAATATATTTATGTTTGTG